CCACTGTAAGAAAAACTGATCAATCCCTTGTAACATGCATGAGACCCAGTGATTTATTCAACCAGTTAACAAGTATTTTTGAGTGCTCACTGCATATTAGGCTCCCTTGAGAGACTGTTGCGAGAGTGTGTGTGTGTGTGTGTGTGTGTGTGTGTGTGTGTGTACTAGTGTTGACCTGGCAGCCAAAGCACTGAGTGGCAGCCTAGCCGGTATGCCCATCTCGGCTGCTCTCTGGGGAGACAGACGGCCTCCTGCAAGTCTTTTGGCCACAGTGAAACGTTTCTCACTTTCAAAGCATGAGTCTAGGCTGTAAATCTTTCCCAGATGACTTGTTGTAGTTGGGACCTACACAGCCTGTGCCCTCGATATTCATATACACGTAAGGTGGCAGAGGAGAAGCCAGATCCAGGAAGTGACAGTGACACTCTGTTAGTTACTCAGTCAGCAGACGTGGCAAGTTCCATGCCAGGTACTGCACAAGTGCTGGGAACACAGCAGTGACCACGGAGAGATCCTTCCTTCCAGCTGAAGGGAGCTGATGGAGGCACAAGCCAGAATGGCAGCCGAGCAGCTTGAAACTGATGGTAGAGGGTGCTGCTGGGACTGGGGAAGTCGGAAATAAGGAAGCGGGCCGGAGAGAGAAAGCAAAAGGGGTCTGAGAGGTGGGCAGCTGAGGTAGTGTCTCTCTGACTGACAGAAACTTCATTCTCATTAGGCCACCACAGCAGACACAGCATCAGTTCAATCCCAGCATAACCCTCTCCCCAGTGTGGCTAACAAGCAAGGGAACACTGAAGTTGTCTGGTGGGACACTCCCATTCTCCACAACTCCTCCATGCAAATCAAATTTATACTAAAGCCACGCATGGTTCTGTGTAGTGGCCAGTCTGTTTGCTTTTTTCAAAAGGGTCTTTACTAAGAGCCAGCAACAGTGAAATGGTATAAAGACCTGCATAAGATACCGCTCTTCAGATCTTCTTCAGATCAGGGAGCCCCCTCCCCACCCGATTCCACAAGTCATTGGAGCAGATCCAGAAGCCCCCCGCTCTTCCTTATTTACCCTCAGTAATTACACATCTTCCCCTTCGGAGGCTGGGGCTGAGCAGTCTCCTATTGTCTCTGCAGGAAATGGCATCCATGTGACTGCTGGAGAAGGCAACCGGTGACCGCTCTGGTTAAGCTAATTCAGAAAGTGCTCAGTATATCCTCTGTCAGATTGAGTCCAGCTGACTTGGAAAGCTTTCGGAAGTGCAGACATGAGACGGTCACCATAACCAGGGCACTGCTGGGTCAGGTCCCTGAGCAGAATGAATCTCTGCAGAGTTGGGACTCCTCAGAAAGTGGGGTGATCAGTGCCTTACCACTCTCTCCCTTTTATAGCATTACTTAGGATCGGTTCCTTTAAAAGTTTTCTAGAGTGAACTATTGAAAGCTCCTCCACTCACAGAGACCTAAGCACTGAGGAGTGCATGGGATCTCAGAGTTGCCGTGCTCACCTACGCTGAGCTCCCCTGTGTTCGCCCTGCTTCCAGGACCAACCACATCCCCAGGCTACAGCAGCAGAGCTGGGAACATGCCAGGCGTCTCTCATATGCACACAGCACACACAAACACACACACAGCACACAAGCACACACACAGACAGCACACACACACAGCACATACACACACACACAGCACACACATACAGCACACAAGAACACAAGCACACACAGACACACAAGCATACACACCAACGACAGACAAAAGAGATCCTCCCAGAAGACGCTCCTAGTAAAGCATTCTGTCTCATTGTCGTATACCGAGCTACATATTTTTTGACTGGATCACTGGTAAGAGTCTGGGGGCCTCTTGAGTCAGAGCCTCTCCATCCTTAGTATACACAGCAGTCACCTGGATAAGTGTGACTTATACTTGACTCGAGTGAAGCCTCAGGTCTGACAGCTCCTGTGAAAGGTCCTGTCAGTGGTTGGTGTCCTGCAAAGCCTAAACCATCCTGATGCCCCTACAGGGCTGGCTGCCCCTGCTCTTGAGGCACTGTGGCTAGGCAAGTGTACGTGAGAGCTCCCTTAGGAAAAAGAAATTGAGAATAACCCTGTATCAGTGAGAACTATCCCTGTTCACAGTGTGTAGTGAGAATGTCACCATTAACCCAGAAGTCACACACAGCCTTGGTGTGCCCGAGAAACAGAGAATACAAAGGGGGCTATGCACTGTTGTGTGAGAGTGCTCATTAAAAACAGCATTACTCCTTCACGACGGCACACACACTGCAGTTCTAGAGACCAAAGATGCGGGAGACAAACCACCCTCTTTGTTATCCTTCAGTTGTTTTTACTGGTAACGAGAAGCGTATGTCCAGATTGTAATGAGACGGCAATAAGTGTGCTGCAGTATAAAGAGGGTCGTGTGCCAGCTCCAGCCCTGGTTCCTACAGGACACAGCTCATCAGCCTTGGGAGTTACTGCAGAGGAAGAACACACTGCCACGTGGCCTGCGAGTCACTTGACATGATGTTAGATTCGGGAAGTGCTGCCAGTGGTAAATTTCTGCCTAAGCAGTTGGTCACTGTGCCCTGGTTGCCGGCGCTCGGTGGAGGCAATCGTTAAGCTTTCTTCATTTTGAAAAGGGATAACTATCCTAGTTTTTGTTTGCTTTTGGCAAAAGATACACGGTCACCCCTTGCTGGAGCTACTTGGATAAAGAGGATAATCTGGGCAGCCCTGTGTCAAGCATGACTCTGATTCATCACAGATGCTGCAGGGCTCGGAATGAAGGATGCAGCCAGATGTTAAGCTGATCTACCTGAGGTTGTCATCTCTGGGCTCATATGCAAAGACAGCACTTCTGGGGCTATCTCTTCATCTACCTGCCCCAACACCACAGGGTCAGGTCTGCTTGACTGAAAGGAAGTTGGATCTTGGTCCAGTTTCCAAGTGCTGCTAATTGGCCTTGCCAACATGGTTTACCACTCTATACTATGCAAGACCCTGGGAGCTAGAGAGATTCCTGGCTGCTCTGGACCAGCTGAGGGAGGCTGCTGGACTTGATGCTCTGGAGAGGCAGGGACCATGGTTATCACTTATGCCTGTGTAGGCATCCAGGGTGTTACTTATCAGTGGATACTTGAACAGCTGGTCTGTTCCCAGAGACCTATCAGTCATCGGCACACATGAAGCATCCCCCCTCTAAAAAGGAGAGAACGTTTTGTTGCCTAACTTCGATCATTTATAATATAAATACAGAATGCTGGGATGCTATCTATACTTTAGGACCTCATAGGCTGTCAAAGAGATGAGATGATATTAATATCAGCCAAGCTTGTACAATCAGTGTATTTAATCACTGATTGATTCAGGCAGTACTTATGAATGCTTCCCTCACCGTGCCGGCCATACGGGAGGATATTATTAAACCAGGAATAAAGAGGTAGAAATAACATGACTCTCCCAAACTAGGAAAATCAGTGAAACAGTGGAGATAATGAGAGTGAGGAGAGGCTTAAATCTGGTGTGCTTGGCCCAGCAAGGGTGGCGGCCATGGCTGGAGTTAAAGGGCCAGGGCCCTATTGGGAAGGAATGCACTCTCCATTTTCCTTAACCGTGAACTGAAATCTGGCATTTCTTTTCATTATATAAGAGATTTGGCATTGTATAGAATAGAATATGAGTAGAATAGTAAATGTTTATGTTACATTACAGTTAAGGACATCCTGAAATATGATTTCACTTAAGGATTCTTAAAAATGGCATTTACTTTAGATTTTTGCAGAAAATCATTGAACTGTCTACTGAAGGAAATCCATCTCAACTTTTTTTGTTGTTTTTGTTTGTTTGTTTTGTTTTGTTTTGAGACAGGTTCTCACTATGTAGCTGTTAAATATTTTGGTAGCTGAATATGGATACATTTTCCTTCTTTTAAACTCTGTGCATTTCACATGTTAATTTGAAGTTCTTAAAGACATTAGTCTTTTAAATATTGAACAAGCAGTAACAACAAAAATTTCATTTAAAATTCTGAAAAATGCTGTAAACTGACCTAGATAGTCCAGAAGAGCAAAGAGCTCATGCCTAAGAAAATACCTGGACCTTCTACTATTAGGGATGGGATGGGAGGTGCCCAGGAAGGCACTTGTCAAGCCTCACCTGCTTGAGAACACGCAGAAATAAAGCCAGGACAAGTAAAAATCTAGGCTGGCATCATCTCACATGTAAACGTGCAGGTGACAAGAAGAATCCCTGTAAAAGGTGTTTGGAAAAGTGCTTTGCAGAGCCAGGAGAGTGGGTGGAGGGTTGGGAGGGAGGCACTGAAGGCCAGGCATGGGTTTTCTGCAAGCAAGGCATGACACAGACCAGATAGAATGTGAGAGAGAAGGAGTCCCCGCCTGGCTGTGGGCTCAGCAGTAGGTCTGGGGCCTGGTGTGCAGCAGAGGTGAGAAGCCATGTTAGGTCTCAGGTTGGGGCAGTGAGAAGCATGGTGGTTGAAGCTTTCGTTTGCTCAGATGTTACTAGTGCCTGCTGCTGCTTTCAGCCCCTCTATGTCCTGTGCGTGACAAAGTGAGTGCAATAATGATGACCCTGGGAAACTGGCTGCCACAATTCCTATTTTACAGATAATGAAATAAGATTTACTGAAGAGGAGAGAGAAAAGTAGCCTGGGACCTCCCAGAACTAGACCAAAGGAAGAGCTCTGATAGAGAGGAGAGGAGTCGGCCCAGGGGAAAATGTGAAGAGTTTAATCTTAGGTATTTCCCCATTGTTCTCTTACATATTTGTAAGTGCAGTTTCTTACTGATTCAACTGCTGACAGTTTTTTTTTTCCTATTAGCGTATGGTAACATAATCGTAAATTGGTTTCATTTTCCTGGGCAAACTAGGCAAAGGGACAGCTGGTAGGGAGTCTGCTGAGTGGATGGGTGCCCAGTCGGTGCAGAGGAACCGAGAGCGTCGGCAGATTGAAGCGGATTGTGAATCTGATGTTTATCTGCATTGTTTTTTCAGACTCAGTCCGACCGCTGGTTTAGAAGACATGTGGTGTATATAAAGTTTGTGATAGTTGGTGGAAATTTGGGTAAGTGAAGTCACGTTTATTTCTAACACATTTAATGTAAAATGGTGCCACAGAGGGGAAGCTACTGCCCCGCCCTGTGCATCTTTCAAATCTGCTCTAAACCTCAAATGAAGGTTTTAATTAAATGTGGCACCAAATTGGTGTTTCGGACAATATGCCTTTTTTCTTGTTAAAACTAATGTTATTACGTGATATGGGATTTTATAAAAATCTAGTAAGTCTAGATTTGGGGAAGTTCAAATGAAGGGCCCAGGGCACAATTGGCGATTTAGTTTACGTTCTAAGCCAGCTGTGTAATAGGACTAATAAACTCACAGACGAGAAGAATAGTGTCTCCAAAGCGGAAAGAGAAGTTAGCCACTTGAAGAATGGGAAATGAAAGGAAGTAAGCCCCAGAGTTTCCTGGAAGCTGCCCAGCCTGGAGCAGAAGCTTGACAGACCAAGAGCTGTCCTGACAGGTGGTGGTGAGGAGGGCAGGCTTTGGAGTCAGGGATCTAGGTTAAATCTCTGTACCCATTGGTTGTTTTACAGTAACCCTCCGAGTCTCGGGTTCTTCTGTAAACTGAGGTCTTTAATATTCCCTATTCCCCAGGACTGTTGTGGGAACAGTCAGCTGAGTCACACTGGGGCATAGTAGGTACTCCACAGCAGCTGTGTGTCATGACAGACTCAGAAGGCTTGGGAATGGGTTGTTCACACAGTGTGACTTCACAGTGGCTATCACAGCGGCTTCTCCATCATTTACTATATACTCACTCCATAATGAGCTTGGTGGGGGGAAGGCAAGAGGGAAGCTGTTACTCGGCCTCCTTCTAGAACCCAAGGAAGCCACTGTCAGACAAGCCCCGCACTCAGCCTCCCTTCCTGCCATGGTTACAATCGAGTGAGGTCTCATCCTTTAAGCTTTTGGTTAAAGTTCTGATGCTATGTTCATTCCTGTCAGTAAGAAGGGACAGAGTGAAGTACATGATACGTTTGGTTTTATGTGCCTTCACCCGTTATTGAGCTAACAGTTGGACTTTGGGGTGCAGCCTTTCCCTGTGTTTGGGAGAGGACCAGCCTTGGCATTGCTGCAGAGAGTGCGATATTAAGGCCACATGTCTGGTCTGTGAGTCGGGGATGCGGACACGGCCTCAGAAGGTCTCTACAGTCGTCTCTAGAGAGCCAGAAAGTCTCTTCAGCAACATTTCTAACCAGGGGATTCAAGTCTTCTCAGAGATAAGAGGAACTTGCCTGTGGCAGCTTGCTGGGGGCACAGCGTTGCGATTGGAGGGAGTGGCCCTTTAGGGAGTTCAGTTATCACAGTGTAGGCTTTATATCAGAGTAACTAGGGATACAGCTGCCCCAAGCATGTAGAAACGTCTGAGGAGTTGAGAATGCTTACCCCAGTTTGATCGTTGACACTGTATGCATGCATTAAGTCATTGTGCTGAGCCAGATGTTTTGTCTTAATGAAAAATAAAATAATAAACAATTAGGGGACACTAGGAAATTGTTTCAAAAGAGTGATCGTTTTGTTCCATATGTTAATTGCGGGGTTATTTATACAGCTGTAGGCTTTTGTAGAAACCCATAGAACCATACAGTAAGGAGACTGGATTTTGTTCTGTGGGAATGAAAGATGGAAAGAATGAGTCGTAGAGGACAGTTATCACAGCTTGTAACGTGTGATGGTGGAGAGTGCACTGCATGTGGGCTGGGGGCTTAGGCTGAGTTCTTCCCCCACCCCACACAGTGCCTGGCACACGGCAGTAATGCTGCAGGACCCGCTGTGTCACCTGCCCACACACGCGTCCATCCACTGTGTTTATGTGATCTCCTTCCTCTGCCGCACCCTCTCCTGTGAACTAAACTCACCCCCTTCTGCTCTTCCTTCCTCTAGTGTTACGTTGATGTCCTGCCCCATCCCGTGAAACTCTTAGCAGAGCCTCCTGCCTTACAATTCCTCCTCTGGCAGCTGCCCAGCACCAAAGTACTATGCCTGTCAGGATCAGGCTGGAACGCCTTGTCTCAGTAGATACCTAGCCCTAACCTCCCTCCACCCATCACGCTCAGTACTGAGCCTAGTGATGGGTCATGTAGGTGTTCTATTGTGTGGTCTTCTGAAAATGGAGAAAGGAGGACAGCATAGCAAATCCATCTTCTCTGTGCTAGTGAAAACCAGTCTTGGCACTCTTAGCTGAGGCAGGGGGAGTGCTGTGGATGAATCTCTTGAGGCGCAAGCATTTCTCAGATTCTAATTCTTCATTATGAGTCAAGAGACTTAAGGTTCTTACAGCCACAGCGTGTGAATACCCGGTGACGCCCTGTCCTCTAGCCATATCAGTGTGACAGATAAATTCAATGAAAGATAAGAACAGTGGTTCTCATCTGAGGTCAGTGTGCCTTCCCAAGCGGTGTTTGGTGATGTCAAGGATGCTGCTAAAAGCCCTGCAGTATTAGAACTGCACATGTGCACACACCCAGAAAATGACCCCAGATGTCGGTGGTACTGAGACTGAGAAACTGATGTTAGAGCTAGTAAAATATTGAAAGTGCCTGTTTTGAGAGTTTATATTTTAAAATATTTTAATATTTAATCACACACACGCACACGCACACACACACACACACCTGAAAAGAGCTCAGAACACAGAGGCCTGAGATAGCTCCGAGAATCTGCCTCCTTCTTTATCCCTTACTCCAAGCAAAAGCAGACATAAAAGAATTCAGACAGACAAGTCCTACTGAATGATGAAAGAGGAAAGAGAGGTTCTCACAGCCTGACGTCAGCATCTGCACAGAGAGGGCAGTCTCCTGCTGTAGGCCCCAGCTTCCTCAGATGTGTGTGTCTGTCGTTGAAATGGCATTGCTGTCTGAGCTGGTCCTTTCTTTTGAATCAGGGATAGTGACTCTGGAAGGATAAAGATGTGCTTAGGGAGGAGATGGATCACATCACAGATGACTGAGAGGCAGTATTCTGGAACACAGGGCTGTGTATTTGCATCCGCTTGCCATGACAGCACAGTCTGGCGTAACTGTGATGTGCTGAACACTTTTGTAGCCCAGTATGGCTGCATGTGCTGATGCCGGGAGATTAAAGCAACATATGTCAAGCTGGGATGCAGAACAATTCTCTTGAAAATACTTTACTTAATTATGGGGCCTATTTTGGGAGGGTAACTGTGCTTTTTGTGTGGTATATTTTAGGTTACACTAACCCAGCTTCAAGGCCAGTAATATCCTCCCAGAAAGGGTGTGGCATATGCTAAGGACATAAATGTGTCCTTACAAAAGCTCTGGTGTGATGTTCTTTCGGCTTTCCGAGCCTTTAGTCCTTTCTTGTCATTTCTGCTGTCACATGAGTGCTGTGGAAGTGTGTTCTACAAAGCCAGACGAGAGAAGGCAGAAAGCCCTGCTTCAGATGGCCGGGCCCAGAGATTTGGGGAGTCTTTGTTGTCAGTCCATGTCTTTAACCTGAAGGCAACGTGGAGGGATGTACAGAAGTGTCACAGGTAAACAGAGTTGAGAGAGGCTGTAGAACACTGCATTAGGTGGGGCGAGTGTCTGTATGCCACAGGTCGCGCCAGAGCATCATTGTTCTTTCCTGGTGGCCTGTGGTCTGGAGTGGGTATCTGTTTTCTCTCTGTTCTTTAGACAAATGACTTTAATGAGTTCCGCCTCCTGCCCACAGCCTTTTGGGGCCTTATTGCTCCGCCTGTACAGGAAGATCTCAGCCTTAAAGGAGGAGAAGCTGGGTATTTCTGCCCAGTCAGCATTTTTAAGGCCTAAATAAAAATGATTGATAAAGGGAAAAATCAAATTGCATAAGGAAATTAGCTTGTCATTTAAACGGTGTGGAGAAGCAGAGAAATGCATAAAAAGTTTTGCAGCGCCAAGCACTGACCAGTCCTGAGGGCAGAAGCGCTTCACTTGCATCCTGAGTCATGAAGACCAGAGGAGAGCAAGAATGAACCATGAGGAAGGTGGGGGCAGCTCTTTTCCAGAGGAGTGTCTAGAAAGGGACCAGGGTCCAGTTTGCGTTTCAGTGGAGCTCCCTGGGTCCCTCATGTTGGATCTGTCCTCCTGCTAAGAGGCTCTCTACAAGGTTGGAGGCACGGAACCACAAATCCCTGCCCCACCTCAGCTTTTGCTCAGAGCTTACACTCCAAGAGACTTTTGTGTGTTGCAATCTGGCACAGCCTCCAAGGTTCCCTTTCAGATGTGGAAGGAGATGTCTACAGTTTGGAATCCAGCCTGTGTATAGAGGCCAGACCGTCTTCTGCCTTGTTCTGTAGTCCTGATAGCTGAGTCCGCCACAATCATCCCTTCAGCTCTTGCTCACTAAGACAGGTGTCATTTTCTCTCCAGGACAGTTTTGGCAACATCCTGAACCAGATTCCGTGAACCGCTTCCAGGATCTGCTGCCTTGCTTGTGTACAGTAGCCCATGGCTTTGCCATCTGCCCTCACTCCAACACTCAGGCCACAGTGTGGCTGTAATCTGTAGCAACATGTAGACGCCCCAACTGCTCACTTACTTAGGGGAAGGATTTTCAGAGTCAGCAGCTGTCATGTATGCTAGTGTTTGACTAGTTAGAAAAGACCACAGTAGAGCCACCTGGGACGCAGGTGGCCGGCCCTGGCTCAGCTGTGCTGGTGCGGCTGCGTATCTGGATGCCACTCAGACCGCTCCTTTAAGTTTATCAAGAGCTGCACTGCATTTGATCTTCCAGACAAGTTCTTACATGATGGAGTCATGTCACCAGGCGTCGGAGGCTCCTGAATTTGCCTGCGTAAGGCAGGGCCATTTGGTAATGTGCGCAAGTGTTTGTTGTCCTCTGCAGAATTGGAGGCACTGTTGGTAGCTTGGTGCTGAGCAAGGAACTACCACGGAGCCAAATGCACACTCACGATTGGAACCTAGGTCCCCTCTAGCCATCTGGACTGAAGGCATCCAAGTCCTCACTGCTGCTTCCCTGGGAACTCTAGACATGGGATTCAGACGGCTGTTCCACAGAC